CCTTGACTATTGCAACTCCCTCCTCTTTGGGCTCACCCACAAGTCTCTTCATAAGCTCCAACTGGTCCAGAACTCAGCCGCCCGCATCATTACTAGAACCCCTTCCATCCACCACATCACTCCTGTCCTGCAACAGCTTCACTGGCTCCCGATAAAGTTCCGTATTAACTACAAGATCCTTCTGCTCACATTCAAAGCCATCCACAACTCTGCTCCACCATACATCTCAGACCTTCTTCATGTCGCTGTTCCCTCCCGCTTCCTCAGATCGTCCTCCTCCGTCTTCATGTCTGTCCTCTCCGCCCGTCTCGCCACCATGGGGTACAGAGCTCTCAGTCGCTCTGCTCCCCAGCTCTGGAACTCTCTACCCCCCGTCTTGAGGAACATCAATTCACTCCCACAATTCAAGTCTGCACTTAAAACTAGTCTGTTTAAAATTGCCTTCTCCATCTGATACTTCACTGCTGTATTTTAACTTGTTCTTAATTTTTTAATGTTTTATTGTTTTTTTTAATGCTGTGTTGTTATCTTTGTATTCACTGTAAGGTGTCCTTGGGTGACAGAAAGGTGCCTATAAAATAAAATGTATTATTATTATTATACCTCCACACCGCAGCAAATCCTGCAGTAGAACCAGGTGCATGGGACAGGAGCAGCGAGGAGTACCATCACCCTTGGCAATACAGATGTGGGAGCAGCCGCCGTTGTCACGTGAGCAAGGGTGGGATGCTGAGGAGAAGAAATAGACTTTACTATTTCAAACAAATCATCATATCAGTTTATACCACGGTCCATGGCTGGTACACCAGAGGTCCATCAAAGGTCCGTACCAAAATCTTGTGGATCCATCTCTTCAACAGCATGGATGGAGGTCAGGTAAGAAATCCGTCCCTGGATGCGTGTACGTCCATCTCCGGTCATTTTGTCCACCCTCTCTATCACCTGGTGCTGCCGGTCGATCCAGTAAAGATGATCTCCCAGAACTGTCAGGCCCATTGGTTGGAGAATGTTGGAGTCCTGGAGGACAATGCGATTGGCTCCTGGAGGTAATGAAACATCTTGTAAGAACAGAAGATGCTGCAAAAAACCCGCAGACCCTGAGTCCTTAGAGGAAAAGAATGGAATGAATGAGTCTTAGTGACTTAGTTAGACTAGTTCTGGTGTTTATTTGTGAGACCTCAGCCACTGCTGTTTTATTTTGGGGGGTTCCATTGTTGTGATTAAGTCATCGTCAACTTTTCATGGTCTAAAAAGTACAGGATCCACAGGAATCATGGCTTCACAAAAATACAACACGATTAGATATGTGCCTGTGACTGCAGAACAGCTGTGTAGAGTTAGTTCAACTCCTGTTTCCAAATAAAAGAAAATATTGATCCAGTGTCTCTGCCTGTGTTCTTTGGTCT